AAAAAAAAAAAAAAAAACCAAGGAACTCCAGCAAGCCTTATAGTTCAGATTCTTCAGCCCTCTTTCCTTGAGGCCAGGGGGCCAGGCTGCTTCTGAAATGAAGGCCTTATCATTTACTATCAGCTGAAATGGATCACAGAACTCACCCATGGCCAGTGGCTCCAAAGCTGGAGAGTAATGAGGTTTCTGTGAACCGCCCCAGGAAAGCGAAATTCTACTTGTCACAAGGAAGGGTGTTGAAAGGAGAGAAGGTGAAAGACAGACAGACACACAGACAGACAGAGAGACCTTGCTTCCTGAAGCTTGCTCTGAGGCCTGCAGAGCTCCAACATTGTTTTAGTCTATTTGGAGATGAGGGCTGAGACAATAAGGCACCAGAACTGTGGGTGGAAATAAGAACTATCTTTATAAATCAAAGCACACAGGCACTGTGCTAGGCTCTCCTATGATACTACTGCTTCCCACAGCCAAATTATAAACTAGGAATTATTTTGCAGGGGCAGAAACTGAGGGGCCAAAAAGTTATATAACTCGGCCAGGCATGGTGGTGTACTCCCATAATCCCAGCACTCAGGAGGCTGGGGCAGGAGGACTGCTCCAAGTTTGAGGTTAGCCTGCACTACAAAGTGAGTTCAAGGCCAGCCTGAACTGCACAGTGAAACCCTGTCTTTAGGGGCCGGGGAGATGGCTCAGTGAAGTGCTTCCCTGGCAAGCACAAGGGCCTGAGTTCAATCCCCGGTTCTGCCAAAAGAAAAGAAAAGGGCTGGTGAGATGGCTCAGTGGTCTAAAGCACCTACTTAGAACAAGCTTAGCAAAGCACAGGGACCGCGGTTCAAACCCCAGCACCACATGCCAGCCAGCCCCGCCCCCTGGTGGGCTGAGCTGGCCACACACACACACACACAAATTAAAAAAAAAGAAAAGAAAAAAAGAAACTCTGTCTTGAAAAGATACATCAAAAAGTTAAATGACTGAAAAAATTACATGATTTACTTGAGGCCACACAGTGGGTGACAGAAGTAAAGATCTGAAAGCAAGCCTTGAAGCCTCACTTTATTCAAACTGTGAATTGCTGATTGTGCTGCAACGACCACCATTCTCCACCTCTCCTGCCTTTCACAACCCTGGCTTTGCTGGGATGTCCCCAGCCTCTGTGCGGTCACAACAAGGATGACAAAGCAAAAGCCGACTGGGCCCCCGAAGGGCTTCCTTCTACTGGAGATTTGGTGACCGTGTCTGGGACATCTGCTACCAAGGGGGAGTGCTGCTTTGTCCTCCTCCTCATTCATTTGTCCTACAAAGCTCACCCATCCTGTGCCTCCCGTGTTCCCAGACTCAGCAGCTCCTCCTCGTCCACTGCCACCCATGCCAGCATGGCAAAGCAGGGTCAGGACGTCGTCACACCCCACCGGCCAAGAAGGTCTCTCCTCCTGTTCTGTGCAGAAATTCTTGTTGCTAACTCACGGTTTTGCTGCTGCTGTTCTTTCTTGTCATCCTGGTTTGAGACAGGAGAAAAGGCTGCAGGCCTCTTGCGCCCCCAGGGGTACCTTTTATGATCATCATGTGCCCTTCAGCAGTTCTTCTAGATAAACAACTTCCTCCATACTCTTCAGTGGCCCTCAGAAGACCACTTTTGGATAGCACATTTTTTCCCATTCCTGGTTTCTGTCTGGGGTAGAACAGACCGAGCTATGGAACCCTCAGAGCTGTAGGCCTTTCTTTTTTTTTTTTTATGTTAAGAGCAGTATACACACCTATAATATTCAAATAACGGAACTTAGAAAAAAAGGGGTATACAGATGAATGTCCATTTTGTATCTGTGTATTCAAAGTGGTTAGGATAGATATATAGTTGCATTCTCTTAATGAATAGAATGATTTGTTCTAATGGTGTTTGTAAATAGGATCTCAAGTCCGCATCTTGTACAGCAATTAACCACTAAGAAGAATATATGCAGTGTATTAATTATTGAAACTGTACTACCGATTTGATTTGAAACTGTCTCGTTGTTTATCAATAAAATTTTGAAAAAAAAAATGTTCCCCAGAAAAAAAAAAAAAAAAAGAGCAGTATATAAGGACAGGCCAGATAGCTCAGGGGACTAAAGCACCTGCTTGCACACAGCGCAGCGGCCAAGGTTCAAGCCCTGCCTTGCAGTGCAGGCCCCGCCCCCAGGATGCACTGAGAGGGCGACTGAGACTGGGCGAGGTGGTGCATGCCTGTAAGCCCAGCACCTGGGAGGCTGAAACAGGAGGATCACTACAAGTACAAGCTGTGCAGTGAGACCCTGTAGACCCTGTATCAAATACATAAAAAAAAGAGAAGAAATATTTATCTAAGACGGAAAATTTCTGTCTTAGAAGGGCCCTGAGTGGGTTACTGAGGACCCTGCCTTTTCTAGGGATTTTTATAGAGCAAAATCATGAAGTGGGTCCAAAGTGAGAAAAAAATGGGAAATTAGAAGGTGGACACGAGGTGGGACAAAACTACAATGTCATTGCTCAGGTAACATTGAATGGGGATCGCGTGGGGAAGCCAAGTCCTGGAGCAAGCGGGCAGGAAACAGAACAGGGCTTTTCCTGGAGGCGGTGTCCCTGGAAACATCCTTAAGGAGCCCTAGCTGACCTTTGCAACTGTGCATGTCTACAGCCCAAACCAATTAACAGCAAACACCAGGCACGAGAGGTCAGGCGTGGTAGTGCGGGCCTATAATCCCAGCACTTGGAAAGCTGAGGCAGGAGGATCTTTGTGAGTTTGAGGCCCAGCTGAGCTACACAGTGAGTTCAAGGCCAGCCTGAACTACATAGTGACTCCCTGTCTTAAAATGGAAAGAACAAAACAAACAAACAAAAAAAAAAAACCCATCAGGGACTAAATTAAGATTCTTAGCATAAAACAGCCTGAACTTGTCAGTGGTGTTGGGACCCAATCAGTCATGTCTGCTGGCGGGGAATACTGACAACTAAAGGCCATGACTGGGAGCTTGGGGAACTCAGAGCTCATGTCTCTCTAGTAGAGGCAAGAGACAGGCAGCTCAGCTGTCAGCTTCACACCATCTCCAGGCTCCAGGGCTCTTCATTCCCAAGGGAGCCCAAGTCTCTTCCTGACCCTCTCCTTTGCCAGGGTCAGGTGAGCCGGGTGGGGTGAACTAGGGAAAGTAAGTGACCAGGCTGGGGGTGCGTTGGTGTGAGGGTGCTGCGGAGAATGAAGACTGCAGGGCACGATCAAAGTCAGGGAAATAAAGGTTTCACGGCCAAATCCCAAGGTCAAGAGAAGAGTGGAAAATCGAATGCACGGCCAAGGTCAGGAGCCCACAGAAGCGGAAAACTGGAAAGAGGCCAGGGTACAAGCGCAGGCAGGGCGCCTGGGCCTGCTGAGAACGGCCTGGCATGGAGCCTAGCTTTATGGCGCTTACCCGGGACTCCACACAGAAGAGGGTCACGCCAAGGGGCCAGAGCTAAATTCAAGTGACATCACCAAGTGGGAATAAGGGCAGCCAGGATTTCACAGCCCCGCTGCAGAACCCTCGGTGTCTTTGTTCACTTCTCTAAGGTCAGTAAGAGGAACAGCACCAGTAAAGAGGTGATTTTAAGGCTTGCATGTTGAATCAGGCTACCTTCACTCTCCAGCCAGGCCGTGAGGGCTTGAGAGCCTCGGCCACCTTCCTAGGGCTCAGAACCCCGGCTTCGCGCGTCCCAGCTGCAGCAGGGACCGGGCCTGGAAGAAGGGAATTAGGAAACTGAGGATGGGCCGGCCGAGGAGGATGAACAGGGGTAGAGCGACTCCTGGCAATCGCAAGGCGACTGATCAGATGTAAACGCGAGGTCTGCCCACCCTTCACTATCCGTCTGTTTTGTTTCACTGAGGAAGCAAGCGGATTCCTGCCCCCGCTACTTTTGGATGCAAAGAGAGCTGCACCTTTGTTCTGCCTCCTTCGGGGCCACCCAAGCGAGCCGAAGCACCCCCATGACGTCATCACAGCCCCGCCCCTTAAGGGCATGGCACGTCAGTGTGGCGTGGCGTGCGTGTGACGTCAGCGCGCCAAGCCCGGAAAAGGCGCGGGCTGTGAGCTGGAGCTGCGCTGCTGCGCGGCGCCTCAGAACCCATGGCGCTGTGGCGTGGCTCCGCCTGCGCGGGCTTCCTGGCGCTGGCCGTGGGCTGCGTCTTCCTACTGGAGCCGGAATTGCCTGGCTCGGCGCTCCGCTCGCTTTGGAGCTCGCTGCAGCTGGGACCCGCGCCACCGGGACCTCTTTCCCCCGAGAGCCGCCTGGCGGCCGCCTGGGACACACTCATCGTGCAGCCGGCCCGGCGCTGGCGCCGCGTGGCCGTGGGGTGAGTGCCCACGGGGCCTGGGTCTCTGGGCCTCCCAGGACAGTGCGGGAGCCCCAGGCCTCCGAGGTCCGCCTTGCAGGTCGGGCTGCTGGGCGGCCGGGAGGTCGAGGCCCACGGGGTTCTGGCGTCCCCGGGAGGCATCGGTCGTCAGGGTTGAGGCTCTGTCGCGTGTGCTGCAGGGACTCAGCAGACCGCTTGTCCTGTCCCCTGGGCCGGCTGCTCATCCTTGTGAGATCAGCATGCATCATCTCTCGCGACCCCCTTCGCGCCACCTTTCCGCTTGAACCTCCCACCCCCAACTTTCAGCTCCTATCCTCGACTATTCTTTGGAAGAGGTGCTTCGGTTTTCTCATTCTGAGGCATTTTTCCTCTTGCTTCTGAACTTCCTGAAGATGAATGGGCTGTGCCTTTCCCGACTTTCTTCAGGTCTTGCTTTTCATTTCTTAACGCCATCCAGCGTAGAGACCACCACTCTCGCTGATTTTCAAATTCACCCTTTCAGTCTGCACGATCAGCGCCCTGCAGCCTTCCACACGTTTAACACGCCCTTCTTAAAATACTTTTCTTTCTCTGACTAAAGTGACATTGCATTTAAGGTTCTTACAAATCACAGTGCCTCTCCTCGTTGTACTTCTCCAGGAATGTAATTATTTCTTTTACACTGACTTGAGTCCCTGTCTCCGCTTCACTTGACTTTCATGCCTAACTTCAAAAGCATTGTGCAAAAGCAGACCCGTCACGTACCCTACCATTTTGTGTGAGTGTTGGGGCCAAGAGGGGATAGAGCAAAGTTCTTCTAAAGATCTAATGAAATAAACCATGTTCCCTAACTAGCATGGTGTCCCCTTTTGAAAGTGCTCAAGTGTCAGCTAATCAGCACACGCCCTGCTCAAGATGTGTCTGTTTTTACCTCTTTGAAATTCAGGTTTTTTTCACTCACCTTATTAAGTTAGTTACCTTCCCTGGCCATATGGGAGTTCACGCAACAGAATGCCTATCAGCTACATGGTTCATATAGGTCTGTGCTAACTTCTCAGGATACAGTACAGATACAGTGAAGCAAGAACCCTGCTTTCGCTAGGAAACAGATACTGTATATTCGTTATTGAAGTAATCATCTTGAGCTGCTAGGACAGTACCATGGACGGATGACTTCAACAGCAGAACATTTATTTCCTCTTGGTTCCAGAGGCTGATAATCCAAAATCAGGGTGGGAGTATATTTGGGGGTTTTGCTTTTGGTTTATGGTGGGATTTTTTGCTCACCGTGTAGCCCATTCTGGCCTCTGACTCACAGCAATTTTCCTGCCTTAACCTCCCGAACGCTGGGATGACCAGAGTGCACCACCATGCCTGGCTGGTGTGTTTGGTCAGGGCCTTGCTTCCAGTTTGCAGTTGGCCAGCTTCTCAGTGGCCTTTGGTCTGTGTATGTGCCCCTGCTCTGTACTGATCCTGACCTCCTTTTACCCTTCATACTTCTGTGTCCAGTCGCATTGAGGGTTAGAGCTTCAAAATAGGTCTTCGATGAGGCGATGAGGCAGGGGATACCACTGTCTATTAAGTTGTGAAAAGTGCTTAAGTGAATTAGTGGCAGAACCAGATGTTATGGTGATCCAAAAAAGGATAAGGAATTCTCCCCAGAATAGGACATCAGAAAAAGCCCCAGAAAGTCACTATTGCCATCGAGTAAATTGTAGTAGCTTAAAGCAGTAGCCATTTTAGGGCCGACCAAATAGCTCAGCAGACCAAAGCACCTGCTTAAGGAGGGCGCAGTGATCGGGTTCAATCCCTGGCCTGCTGTGCTGGCCCCGCCCCAGGGGTACGCAGAGATGACTGATCGTGGTAATGCAAGCCTATAATCCCAGCACTTAGGAGGCTGAAAACAGGAGGGTCCCTACAAGTCTGATCTGTATAGTAAGACTCTTAAAAATACATAAAAAATAAACAGCCATTTTATATTTTGTTATTCAAAGGTTTTGTTCGTTTGTTTGCTTTTTGTGGTACCATAGATTGCTAGGTAGGACCTCTACCACAGAGAGCTCTCTCTAACCCTTTTAAAATTTTTATTTTTAGGGGCCGGGGAGATGGCTCAGTGGAATAAGCGCTTCCCTGGGAAGCACAAGGGCCTGAGTTCAATCCCCAGTTCCGCCAAAAAAAAAATAATAATAATAAAATAAAATTTTTATTTTGAGACAAGGACTGGCTAAGCTGCCTGCTGAGGAAGTTGGTCGACTCGCTGGAGTTGGATCCTTTAGAGAGGACACCTCAGGTGGTGGGGCCTTGATGACCTAGGAGGACAAAATACTGGCTGTTTTCTTAACCCAGTTACCCTTTTCGCTTTGGTCTCTAAGCTTTGGTTGTTGGACATCTAGGAGATCAGTTATACTGTTATCAAAGTGAGAGGTAGTAGCTTTAACTATCTCATCTGAATATTGAGCATCTTGAAATACAGGTATGACCAGAGAACTTTTTTTTTTTTTTTGTATTTTAGGGAATATATATTGTATTCAGGGTCTTGCTACTAAATCAACGTCATAGTGATCCACCTGTTTACAGCCTCCCAAGAGTGAGGATTACAGGCATTTGCCACCACGCCCAGTCTCAATTACCCTCTCAGCATGCCTTGGGGGCAGGGCTGGCACAGCAGGCCAGGGAATCAAACTCCAGGCCCCTGGGTCTGCTTGCAGTTGCTTTAATCCACTGAGCTATTTGACCAGGCCAGAGAACTTATTTTTTTTTAATCAGTCAAATATATTTTTTTATATAATTTGATTGTATTAGTCAAATTTCTGTGGAATGTTAACAGTTGTAAAGCTTTATTAGAACAATTTAAAATCCAAAGTAAAGATAGCATTTAGCTTACCAATTATAGTGACATAACTATTGGGTTTTTTGTGGAACCGGGCATTGAACTCAGGCCCTTGCGCTTGTCAGGCAAGCACTTATTCCACTGAGCCATCTCCCTGGCCCTCAACCATTGCCGTTTTAAAAAATATATTTGGATCCCTGGTTCCGCAAAAAATATATATAAATATTAAAAATAAATATATATATTTGGGGGGGCAGCGAGATAGCTCAGCAGTCTGAAGCACCTGCTTAGGCAGGCACAGGGGACCACGGTTCAATCCCCAGCATCACATGCTGTGCCAACTCCACCCTCAGGGTGGGCTGGGGGATATATATATATATATCCCTCAACCCATGCACCGTGGGTATAGCTCAGCTGCACAGCACCCTCTTGGCAAGCATGAGGCCCTGAGTTGGATTCCCAGTAAGAAAAAAATGAAAAGTTTAAATAGGGCTGGAGAGATAGCTCAGTGGTCTAAGTACCTGCCTGGCAAGTACAGACTTGGGTTTGATCTCTGATACCATATGCTGTGCCAGCCCCAGCACACGGGGTATGTCATGCTGGCTCTGAAACCAGGCATAATGGTATATGCCTGTAATCCCAGTGCAGGGGAGACTGAGACGGGAGGATCGCTACAAGTCTGAACTGTGTAGTGAGATCCTGTACCAAATAAATGCATACATCATTAAAAAAAAATTAAAATGTATTTAAATTCTCAGTTTAGTATAAAATAGCCTTTTAGTCATCTTTATCCAGTTATGTAAACACACTACCTAAATTTGCTACCTTTTTAAACAATATTTTCTAGTAGAATGTACTTATTTATAGATATACTTAATAGATAACGGTTGCCCAGCTTTTAAATTTTAGTGTCATCGTCTGGATTGTGTATCATTTAGGCACATTTAACTATCATAGCACAACTGACTAGCACTCACTAAACATAAACCTGAGCAGTCCACCATCATGAACAACTTCAGTATGGAGGTCACCAGTGTAATAAGGTGTCTTTTCAAGTTCCCCCTCTTACAAGATGCGTATACCATCACAGCTGTGTAGGCATCTTCATACATTTATGTAGCTTTCACTCAAGGCAAAATTTCGATTTTTTAAAAATAGGTTTATAAGGTGTAACCACATTGATGATAGTATCTTTAGGCTATTACAAGTTTAGGAAATAGTGTTACCACAAACAGACATACTACCCCATACACAAGTGTATCTCATTTATACAATAATAAAATGTTGGCTTAACACCAGTACATATAGATCAAGGGTTGATTTTGTTTTTTGGTGGTACTGGGGATCGAACCCAGGGCCTTGTGCATGCAAGGTGAGAACTCTGAGCCACATCTCCAGCCTTGATTAAGTTTTAAATGGCAGGCAAGCTTAAAAAGATGCCAAAATTTTTCATCATTTACTACATCTAAAGTCTAGAAATCTATTGTCTAAAAGAATACTTAGTAGTTACTTTACATGTGCTAAAGTTCTGTAGTCTTTACTCTCAACTTCAAAACTTAGATTCCCTGCATTTTTTTTTTTTAAATGTATTTAGTACAGGGTCTCACTACACTAATTGGATTTGTAGTGATCCTCCTGTTTTCAGTCTCCCAAGCACTGGGATTACAAGCATGTGCCACCATGCCATCTC